TGTTGTTCCAAACCTGTATTCATTTCTTTCTTTTGCTGAACACAAAAGAAGATATTTTGAAGAATGTCAGTAACCAAAATAGTTGATAGGACCCCTATTGACTTCCATAGTATTTTTTTATTTTTTTATCATACTATGGAAGTCAATGGGGTCCATCAACTATTTGATTACCGACATTCTTCAAAATATCTTCTTTTGTGTTTAGCAGAAGGAGATTCATACAGGTTTGGAACAACTTGAGGGTGAGTAAATGACAAAATTTTCATTTTTGGGTGAACATCAACCCATCTGAGAAGTTGTCTCACAAACTAGATTAATTATACTTTACAATAATTTCTATCCTTAACCAATTAGTCAGTTTTGAAAACGTAGTTTTGGACATCAATTACACCATGATAAATAAAACAAATTGCCATGGTACTGATATCTGATGCCTCCCCTGTACCACCACAGTACTTGTTGTTTAAGTTGTGTTTTGGGGCTCTTCTGCCGTTAGGTTACAGAAGATGACGTCCTGGAGGCCTTGGAGACAGTTCTTCAGTCTCACATGTCATCACCAGCAACCAGAGGCTTCGCACTCACTGCTACCATGAAGCTGAGCACTCGGATCACTGACAATGTCGAGTGAGAAACGTTATTATGAAATACTGGCAAAAAAATGCACTGTGAATTGAATATGAAAAATAATGTAAGAAGTATTTGTATAATTCTACAGTATTTTGTCTAAATGAATTTAAAACACTGAAAACTAAACTCAATCATTGTAAATGCCACAAGTGAGTTTAGACATCACAATAATATAACGTACAGTATAAAAAAGGACATCCATATTGAGATTTTCTGAAGATTACATTCAACAGTTATTTACATATTAGTGTTTTGTTTTTATGCAAGTTAAAGGACAGCATTTGTACTCTAAAAGAAAAATAGGGGAATTGAGCATAAATAATTATCTATCCAATATATATTGGGGGTCAGTAGTTTTGTTTTTGTTTTTTTTTAATAAGTTAATACTTTTATTGGGCTTGGACACATTCAATTGATCAAAAGTGACAGTTAAGACATTTATATCATTACAAACAAAGAAGAATATTAAGCAGCACATCTGTTTTCAACATTGTAATTGTAATAAAACTACATGTTTTTTGGGACACCAGAAAAATGTTACCATACTAAAAATAGAAAATTAAAATTTGAAACTAAATTAGTGCTTTATAACAATTATGGTGCTGATATTGTACAGTACATCTGCTCTCTCAATGTATTTGCTTGTTTCTTTGAGCCTGTTTTGTCTTGGATCTTTTTAATCTTTCTGTTTTTCTCATAATCAGCCGAATCAGAAGTATTGTCAGTATTTATGGCAGCTGCATTGACCTGGAACTTCAGCAGAGAGCGGTCGAATATAATGCACTCTTCAAGAAATATGACCACATGAGGTACCGCTGTGTGCTTTATTAGCCTATTATTTGTCAGTAAAAAAAAAAACCCTGAGATCATGAATGGTGCAGCTCTTAAGCAATTCAGGATTAAGCAATCACGTTTGCTGTCTTCCTCTCAGAGCTGCAGTGTTGGAAAGAATGCCTGTAATGGATAAGAACTCACCTGGACACACAAATGGAGACACATCAGACGAGATTAAGGAGCCTGACCCATCCAAACCCAAACTAATTGAGGCAGGTTTGCTCTCAGAACCAGCAAGCCAGGTAATTATTATAGACCATTTCACAAGATGTAAACAACACTGGTCCAGAAGCACTTCCTGTTTCAGTTTGTAACTGTTTTCTTTATTTCACATGTAAAGAAAACATCTTAAAGATGTTTGTTTAACTTTTTGATTCAGTTTTAAATGTTCTGTTGGTTGTATTTTATCCCAGCTTTTATGTAGTGTTAAAAAACTGAAACAGGAAGTGCTTCTGGACCAGTGTTGTTTACATCTTGTGAAATGGTCTATATGATATTGTATTTAGACACTGAACTGTTGAAGAATAGATAGACATTTTTTGTATTTATTCTTTTGTTAAAGGTGTGCGACCTTCTGGATCTCTTGGGTGGGACCGACATGCCTCTCCAGCCCAAGCCTGCCCCAACCATCACTCCAACAACTACCTCTAGTGCCGATCTTCTTGACCTACTGGGAGGACTGGAACTGACACCAGGTGAGAACATGGACACCTGAAGCACTGATGATTTCTTCAGTTGTGTTTGACCTTTAAAAAAAAAACCCTGAAAGATACATTACCACTAACATTTTGGGATCAGTTTTTATTTTTTAAATAAAATATTTTTATTTCGCAAGGATGCATTAAATTGACCAAAAATAGCATTTCTAATGTTACAATTTTAATGTTACTATTTCTATTGCAAATATATCCTGTTTATCCAGCTGAAAATTCAGATTTGCCATCACAGGAATAAATTAAATTTTAAAATATATTAAATAAAATAGAAAATGATTATTTTAAATTGTGATAATATTTTCACCTTGGTGTTGGTGTGTTTGCATGTAGTTCCCACTGTGACGGTGTACGAGAAGAATGGATTAACCCTGAAAACCCAATGTGACAAACAGACAGAAACAGATGTCACGGTCACCCTTATTGCCTCTAACTCCACTCAGAGTGACGTCACCAATTTCACTCTTCAAGCAGCTGTACCTAAGGTCTGATATTAATTTCAGCTCATTTTCATGAAAATTCACTATAAAACCTGTTTGTCAACAGTCTTTTATAACATCATGTTTTTTGAGTGTGTACTAGAGTGAACAACTCAACCGTTGTTCAAAAAGTGACAGGCATACAAAAAAATTTACTGAATCTGAAAGATTAACAGTTTTTTATTTTATTTATGTTCTTATTTCTCAATACTTGAGTCACTTTTAAAAACTTTTTGCACATTTTTCCTAACTAACTTTCAACTTGGCACAGAAGTTTATTGCGCATTCAAAATGCACTTAAACTACCAAAACACTTTATACAACACTTCCAAAACACTACCAAAGTTTTTCACCCAACACACTTTGTCACTATTCAAAGAATTCCCTATAAAACTCTAATCACAAGTAGGCAGTAGCATCACAAAATGTTTTTTATGTAAAATTTCTTTATAAAACAAGAATGACAGGTCTCCACTGTTGAGAATTTACTGTTAAATGATCCATGTTCACATTACAATATAAAATTGTCCTCTGTTATATTGATGCTAATCCAATTACTAGACTAGGTGTAGGTGTTCAGCTACATATAATTGGTTTTATAGTATTTGATTTATATATATATATATTTTAGTATGGTATAGCTGTAGTAATTGCTGTCTTAGTTCACACAGAACGCGTTTTTTTTTTTTCATTCCAATGCATGACTTTTCCATTGCTTTTTTATGTAAATGTGCTAGACGGACACGTATAACAGTTGCTCTTGCATCTTTCGCAGCGTCTCATGCAAGACACTGCGTTCTAATTACGCGGCACTCAAAATTAGTAAGAGTTTTAAAAAACATTTCTCGAGACTGCGTTTTTTTCCCCATTCCACAAAGTGTTACTCACTGCAGAGTAAAACGACGACCTCTGGGGTGGGATTAGTCCAGCTAATAGCATTTGGGCCCCTTAGTGCCAATTGGATATCGTTGTTTCTGACCATGTCTCCATCCCTTTATGGCCACCATGTACCCAAAGCTCTAATCATTCACAATCAAATTCACAAAGCTCTAATCATTTCAGATTGGTTTCTTGAACATGACAATGAGTTCACTGTACTAAAATGGCCCTCACAGTCACCAGATCTCAACCCAATAGAGCATCTTTGGGATGTGGTGGAACAGAAGCTTCGTGGCTCCTGCAAGATGCTATCCTATCAATATGGGCCAACATTTCTAAAGAATGCTTTCAGCACCTTGTTGAATCAATGCCATGTACAATTCTGTTCTGAAGGCGAAAGGGGGTCAAACATAGTATTAAAATGGTGTTCCTAATAATCCTTTGTGTGCGTGCATGCAATTAAGTTGGTCAGTGAAAACAAGTTTGATAATTAACAAAGCACACATTTTTGATTTTGAATTTAATTTTTTAGAAATGTCCCAATTTTTCTGGAAATGAGGTTGTAAATTTGAAAGAAAGAAATGATATGTTTGTCAGAATCTATCATGCGCTGCTATCACATGAAAAAAAATATTATTCTCATTTTTCAGAGTGTTCAGCTGCAGATGAAGGCTCCAAGCGGTAATGTGATTCCTGCACATGGCCTTGGTCAAGTCACACAGACGGTTTTACTCAACAACCCTAACAAGGCAAGTCCATCCTGCTTTAGTTTTGTGCGACTGTGTTTCTCACTAAACTTATCGTTGCTATATATTAACAAGCTTGACTGTACTTTTATTTCCCCCCTACAGGTCAGCCTTAAGATGCGAATTCGAGTGTCTTACTCGCATCAGGATGCAGTGCATCAGGACACAGTACAAATTGACTCCTTTCCCAGTCTGGGCTGGAACTGTTAGCCATCAATCAGCCCCTTGCGACCAAACTACGAGTTCAGAATCTGTCATGACATGACTGTCTCTCAAATTAAGATCTACGGGAATAGGCGGCTGTTCTATTATGTCAACCTTTCTATTATGGACTGAACACTCTCACGGCAGATTTGATACAACAGGTGTTTATGAAGTGGTATCTTGGTTTGAATTGTCTTGAACAAAGTGTGGTTTGATGTGCTGTCATTACTGCACAAAAGTAAACAGTCAAACTAATGCACACAGTCATTAGATAAGCTCCTTAGTGCACGGTCACTAAATAGCTCTGTCAACAAGTTTAAGAATTTGAATTACAGATATACTTCTGATGCCCTAATTAATTCATTTGAGCTCCAATTGCCTTTATCATTAAGCCTCTCATTTTTTTCTGTTTACTGATTTTCTTGACTGAATGTGAACTTACCATCTAACATATTGAGAATGTTATATTCATATTTCTCAAATAACCTTATTGTGTGTGTGAGAAGCCACAAATATCCCTTTGTCCAATTTGTTTATTCCTCTTTTATCCAAACAATACAATAAAACAAATATATGGTATAATGCACCGCATTCAAGAAATTAGTTTAGGAAGATGATGGTACACGTGAGCCTCTCTTTTAGGAAATAACATTCCTTAATGCATATTTAACAGCTGAATGAGAATTTTTAAATAGCAAGAAATAATGTCAACTAATTAATGAATCTATTATAAGGGACCGGTGTCTGTCTTAAAACATCAGTAAACAGTTTTTAACCTGCTTAAGTGTATATATACCATCATATACCACAGAACAAAAAGGGCAGAAATGAATGTCAACTCACATTTAGGTTGTAAACTGTTCAGAATCACAATAACATGACTCAGAGTGTGATGTATGCAAAGCCAAATGTCCACTTGTGGCTTTAAGCAGCAGAGCCACCTGGCCGGTCTGCTTATGAACATAATAAAACCGATTTCTACTATTTACAAGTTTACCATAATAGACTAGAGGACAGACGGAGATTACAGGGCTAGTGCAGGTTTTCCCCTCCTCGGAGAGCCAGAACTAAATGCAGGACAGATCCTCCCTGAATCTTGTAGTCAGCAGCAGTCTTCTCATCATTCCTGAAATAGAGAAAAATAGATAAGAACACTATCAATTTTTTTAACGCATTCTTTTCCTCGATATTTTAAGGTCAAATTGATTCATTTAATATTAATGGGGAACTTTACATTTGTTTTCCACTGTAAATTAGTCTTTGCTGTTGTGGTGGGATCCCCTCCTTTTCTTCCACCCTCTCTTTGATTCTTTCCACCTTGTTGGGAAAAAAACGCATAATAAATATCCAAATATTGCCACAGATACACAAATATTATTCGCATTTCATGTACATTAACACTCATACCTTGTCCGTGGGTTCGATGTCAATTTCTATTTCTTTACCTGTGAGTGTCTGAGAGACACGATTAAAAAATTAATATTTTTTACACATCTGAATCACTTCACTTGTAGTTGAAAAAGTCTGCATTTTGAGAGGATTTTAAATAGATAATCGGTTAATCTTATATTTAATAAAATAGTTAGAAATTCAACCCAAATCTAATACAGTTTAATAATTAGTCTAAGCATGTTAACACTGAAACTAATAAACCAGGTTATAACAATATGGAAACACATAGCGATAGCTAAAATGCGTGGGAAAAAATCGCTCACCTTAACTTTAATCAACATATTGAGGGCTGTATTTTAACTCATACAAGGTGAACAGAAACTAGATAACCTGATATCATCTGATATTTTAAACAATAGTAATTGCAAATGAACCGGTTAAAACGCTTCTACGAAAGAAAACTAAAATTCTAAAAACCAGTCTGACTTCCCGTGTATCCGAAATAAACTCCGGGTACGTTTGTTAACTAAAGCAATGGTACAATGGTTCCGCTTTTAGGCGTCTTGTTGGAGCCTACGAAATAAATACCCCCAAAAAAAAAAAAAAAAAAAAAAAAACCTGCCCAAAATATAAACAAAATTGTAGATTGCTATTGAACTAATTACAAGGCAAATATACAGTAGCATACATTCCAATTAGTGAATAAATGCTACTTTTTTTTTTCATTTCCTCCCCTGTCAGGTGTTGTAAATTAGCAACTGATAACTGACGAAGTAGCAGGATTCAGCTGCTTATAGACAGCGTTTGGTATACACCTCATTTGGTCTGCATCTGATCATGAATTACCTATGGCAATGTTTGCTTGTTTTTTCAGTAGCTGCAGCATTTGTGATGTCTGAAAATAGTAATGATGGTAATGTTTATTATGGCGCAAGAAAATATTATGCATTTTAAGTTCTTAACATGTAATCTAACATCTAAAAGAATCCAGCTTTAGTGGGAAATTGTGCTTTAAAGCAGAGTAGTTTATCATTGGCTGGTAGATGAACATCATGTTTTAACCTATTTTTTTGTTGTTGTTGCTGGTTCAAGATGGTCTACTTACTAACAGCCTACTTTGAGACCATGTTCTAAACATGGATGGGCTATTAGAATTGTTCAGTTTTCTTCAACCTTGAGGCGTACAATAAAGTACTTCTTCTCTCCTTTTACTATAGATATCCAAGTTACATGTGGCGAACATTCTGTTCACATTAGGTGGAAAATCAATGAATCGATGTCTGGAAATCCTGCTCGTCTTTTCTTGGGGAGTTGCTTTCCTTCACAGTTCTTAAATGTGTCAAGTGAAGGAGCAGTGGCAGTCTTTCACTATCCACTTAGTGAGTGTGAGTTTAGACGGACGGTAAGTTCATTTCCTGATTTTGGTAATCACAGAATCCTGAAAACATGGTGATGATAAATACTTTCCCCCCTTCCTTACAATTAGGCTACATGGAAATACTTGCTGTATGAGAACAAGTTAACCTACAGGCCATTGCCAAAGCCAAACCCTCCTTCTTTCACTTATACAATCAGATGTGTGAATGACAGGTAACAGTACAACTGGGTAGCCTACAGGTGTTCAACTCTCAATCCCAAATCATTCACATTAATGATGTACAATAATGTTTTGATTTTTGTCTTTAGGCCAAAGGGTTGGACTCCTGCCTTCCATAGCTCTTCTTCTGGTGCCATACAAGGTCATGGAGTTCTGGACTTTCACATGGCAATTCTCAATCGTATGTAGGCCGATCTTGATTCATTGTATGTGATTCTTGTTCTAACAGTAACTCTCCTATCATAATCTTCTTTCCAGATGATTTCAGTGGTCCTGCAGAATCCAGTGTGTTTCCACTGGGATCTTTTGTCCCTATTTGGGCTGGTGTTAATCAGCAAGCCCATCAGCCCCTGGTATTGCTTCTTGAGGAATGTGTAGCCTCTACAACTCCCAAAATCTCCCCGGATAGTCTTACGTACCCACTTATCGCCAATAAAGGGTGTGTATATTTTTGATTATTTGAAATATCCATTAGTCAGTACATCAAATGAAGTTAGACCTTCCTTATTTGCTCCAATTTAGTGGCCATATTTTTATAATTGACTAAAAGTGAACCCATTATAGGTGTCTTGTGGATGGTAAGAACAGTTTATCTACGTTTTTACCAAGATCTCACTCCTCCTCAATCCTGCTTCACCTTCAAGCATTCAAATTCGCTGTGGAACAAGAGGTGAGGCAGTGTCTTCATTGTAATGCGGAAAGTTAATCATCTGAATGTGTTGCTGCCTTTTCTCCCCCAACTCTGCAGATCTATATCCATTGCAAATTAATTGCATGGGACCCTGACAACCTCAGTGATGTGAAGAAGGCCTGCAATTATAATAAAGCCAAAGGAGAGTAAGTGCATTCTTGATTTGCCTTATAAAATCCTTCAAAATGCTGACATGATGGGAAAATATCCTATAAACCTTCATTAACAGATGGGAGCTTTTAGATGACCCGTTCCAGAGTTCTATTTGTCAATGCTGTGATTCAACATGTGGAGTTCGTGGAAAGAGGGAAACGGATTCCGGTAAATCAAAAGCATAATGGCAAATAAATGATCATGTTAAAATTGCAAACCCTTTAACATGGTTTTAAGTTAACATGCAATGTGTTGGGATTACAGCACCTCAAGGACTGGTACTCAAGTCTGTTTTAGGACCTTTGACAATTACTGATGATTCAGCATGATTTTACTCTGATGTGCCATCCTTTATCCTTTAGAAAGGTTTGTAATTATGCTAATAATGTTTTAAACTGTCCTTTTATTTTTTTTTTTTATTATTATATTATATTATTATGGGATTGTTGGTCATGTTGCAGTGGTTTGTTTTTCTCATTGGTAGGGTGAGTGGCTGTCTGGTGATGCAGTGGTTAATTGACAGGTCAGTGGTGATTACTCTCTACATTCTTGTCCTGAATAAATAACCATAATGTGGAATGAACTGATGTTTTCCATCTTTTCTGTAGGAGCTTGATTTTATGGTCTGGAGTCATTCGGAGTGGCCAACGAAGTAAATTTGTATGACTTTTTTTTGTTCATTAAAAGACTGTGAAACATCCTTTTAAGTCTATTATTTGAAACTTTGTCTCTGTTATGATCTCTTTGACCAAAGTGATAAGGAAACTGGCGTCATCAATTTTCTCTTCATAAATTGCCTCTATATTTTCTTTTGATCATATAATTAAATTGATTATTCCCAGCTGAGGGAGCAGGTTATTGAGGTTGTCATGCATGTTAAAGTCCCCTATAGTCAATAACTGTATCCCTTCACCAAAATTACATGTTTTTTTTTTCCTTAAAATTCTTCATGCCTTAAAATAGCTTTAATATAACTCTACACCCTTTTCTCATCTTGTTCACGTTTCTATGAAAATGCAAATTCGCCCTGCCTCCACTAACTCACACCAGAGATCCACTTGTTGGATTCATTCGGTCACATGTTGATAATTGGTTACGTTGTGGTTTGTGACGTCAAAAACACCAGCTATTTCAAAATGCTATTTTGAGCCCGTCTTTGGTTCACTGCAGTGCATTGAGGTTGTCCTGCACCGTGTTCCTTTCTTGAAGGAAATTATAGCTGCAAGGATTTTCAATCAGGATTTAGACCACATCATAGTACCGAGACAGCTCTCATTAGAGTCACAAATGATCTGCTCTTATCGTCCGATCGTGGTTGCTCTCTATTTGTGTTACTTGATTTAAGTGCTTCATTTGAACACAATTGACCACAACATTCTTTTAAATAGACTAGAAAACTATGTTGGCATTTGTGGAACTGCATTGTTTAAATCATACTTATCTGACCATTATCACTTTGTAGCAGTAAATGAAGAGATGTCTCATCGATCACAAGTTCAGTATGGCGTACCACAAGGCTCACTACTAGGACCGCTGCTATTTACTCTGTACATGCTACCATTAGGAGATATTATTAGGAAACATGAAATTAGCTTTCACTGTTATGCTGATGATACCCAGCTGTATATTTCTTACGAAACTTACCAACTCACAAAAGTAACGGAATGCATAGCTGATATAAAAAATTGGATGACTAGTATTTCCTGCTACTAAATTCTGAAAAACAGAGATTCTAATTATTGGACCAAAAACTTCCACATGTATCAGCCTAGAATACTGTCTAACACTTTGGTTCCTTGCCACTGTTGCCTTGCTTTTGGCTTGCTTAGTTGGGGGCATTTAATATTCAATATTATTGATCTGTGTTGTATTATTATCACTGTGAAGCTGCTTTGATACAATCTGTATTGTAAAAAGTGCTATATAAATAAATGTGACTTGACTTGCAGTTTTAAGAAGAAAATACTTGGCAATAGTGCTGACTTATGAATTAGTAAATGGTTTGCCTTAAAGCATAAAACACCCCATAGACATATAGACATTGAAAGTGTGCGTTCCACCACATGGGGACTTTAAAACTCCTTTAGAAACTTGGAGTATGTGATTTGTGAAAACATACAACTAGTAATTGTATGGTCAGATGTGTGCAAAAAAAAAAAAAAAAAAAACACAGAGCCTGAGCTTGTAAAAAAAAAAAAATGTGTTTTTTCAACCTGTTGCAATATCGCCGGGAAGCTATTACAAAGACTGGGGTTAAAGAGTTGCCACATTTATGGGTTTAAAGCAATGCCAGAAATGTGAAAATGAGTTGGTTGTAATTAAATTTATGTGTTACAAAAGCCCTTTAGCTGGCATTTGTAAAATTCACAACCAAAATAAATGCCATCTCTATACAGCTAACACACTTGATATGTAGTCAATACAAAGTTATTTAAGGTTAAATACATTTGAAAATATTTTATTTTGCACTCATCTCTAGAATACTAATATTTGCCACGTTTAACATGATCAGAGCCAGAGCATCAGCAGCTGATGTACATTAAGCTCATCCAAACAATGTGTTTCAGGTGGGAATCCTTTAATTAGGTTAGCTATCAAAGCGCATAAATTAGCTTGAAGCAGGCCACAGCATATTGTCAAAATGTCTTCCTTTTTGATACTAGTTTTTTTCAGTTTGGTTGTTTTCTTAGTGGCACAAGCAGGTAATGTGACCTTTATAGCAGATAGGGTTTTTTAACACTATTTTGCACACTATTGCTGAATTTTTCACACACCAATTCTAACGTCATTTTCTCCAAATTCACCTCCCTTCAGAAATTACTGTGGAATGTGGCAAAAACTCAATGTCTGTGAGATGGATTGAGACAAACTCTCAAGTAGATCCATCCCTTCTCCGCCTGGGCAGCTGCCCTCCAACCCGGGTTAATGTAAATCCTCAAGTGTCTGAGGCAGTGTTCTATGCTGAATTTGGGTCATGTGATATTAGGAGGATGGTAAGTTCAGTAAGGAATTTTATTTTAAAGTATGGCCGATTTGCCATTTAATTCACTGTGTTTGGAAGTATAAATCACTGGGTTGTTCGCTAATAACTTGGGGAAACAAATTTGTACTTCCTGTAGTTAATTCACTGAGGCATACAGAATCTCAAAACTTTTTGGAGACATCGGTACATGGGGGGGAAAAAGTACCTCTGACACAAAGATGACTATAATTGGGGTAAATTGGCGGTGCTGAGAAAAGTAACATTGCTTCACATGTGGTGCAATGGCAAAGTTGTTTAATGTACTGAAATGGCACTGCGTATAGAAAATACTTAATCTATTCATTAGGTTTTTTTTCTCAATCTCTTTCCCTTCATAGGTGACAATCAATGAGCTTGTATTTGAGAGTGAAATCACTTATACAACATTCTCAAAAACCGCACCACTTTTTTACCCTGTGGCCTGTAAATATGAAAGGTGACATTGTGCTCTATTTTAATCCATCTTCTGCTTGAAGACCTATGTCAAACTCTAAATAAAACCTGCTGTCTTTTTCTCAGGCCAGAAGATTGGACGCCGCCCCTGTATGGTCCTCTTCTATTTCATATACATGGCCAGGGAGATCTGTCCTTTCGTTTGACTCTCATGAAGGGTATGCATATGTACTTATTGTATATAATGAAACATTGACTATCTTCTTGAATATAAAATTTTCTTATAACAGATTTTCTAATTATAGATGACTTTAGTGCTCTGGCCACTACCACAACATTCCCACTAGGCTCAACAATCCCAATAGCTGCTTCATTTGACCAGATGACCCATCAGCCATTAATACTGCTCCTGGATGAATGTGTGGCCTCCACAACACCGGAATTGGGTCCAGATTCTCACATTTACCCACTCATTACCAACAAGGGGTATGTGCTAAGATGAGGTGTGCTCTTTCTGGAGCGATAATATGTTTTCTTCCACAGCAGTGGAATGATTAGCACAGTTCTTGGTCTTAACCTTTTTAAATTGATTACGGTGTAATTACCTCTCGTTTTTATTTTAAGGTGTCTGGTAGACAGCAAAAAGACAAACTCCAGGTTTATGCCAAGAAACCAGTTGTCAGAGATCAGGCTGAGTCTTCAAGCTTTTAAGTTTGCCATCGGAGAAGATGCAAGTCTCTGTCTCTGTCTCTGTCTCTGTCTTTGTCTCTGTCTCTGTCTCTCTCATTTTTCTTTTGCCCCATCCTCAGGTCTACCTGCATTGCAGACTTGTGGCATGGGACCCAAGCGACCTGAGTGGTAGCAATAAAGCTTGTCAATATGACCGGAAAAGCTCACGGTATAATAATTAAAAAAACACAATTCTGAATACACTCTTCAAATAAAGGTTCCTAAAGAGCCATACAACAATTTCGGGTTCCCCAAAGAACATCCAATGATCCGTTCTTAAAAGAACTTTTTTTTTTTTTTTTGTTAACTTTAGAGAACACTTTTTCAAGGTTGCATTGATTAGTTTCTTCATGACACAACCGATGCCAGTTGGCTAGAAAAGAAATGTGCATGCTCTTGTTTTTGCAGGTGGGTGTTGACTGATGATCCATCCCAGAGTTCTCTCTGCAGCTGCTGTGACACTGACTGTAAAGGAAGAAAGAAAAGAGAAAAAACAGCAGGTGAATGTTCCCTGTTTTTGCTTAAAATACAAACCATGATTACAGTAACTGAGACCTCCATTAAAAATAAAATATTTTGGCAACATTTTAGGAGTTTCTAGGATCATTTTGAGTATTCATCTGACTTGTACTAATTGGCAAACTGATTAATTGACAGATTACTATACTTCGACTTCTGTGCTTGGGCCTCTTGTCGTTGAAAACTAAGCACTGGGTCATGCCTCATGGATTTGGCAAGGTTTGCAATCTTTGCTGGTATTATTATTATTATTATTATTATTATTTTCCATAATGTGACATGTTTCCTGTTTAATTTGTTTTCAAAGATGGGCTCCTCCAAGCCACTGGAGTTGTTTCGGATGTCTTAAGGATGGAGCTCTCTGTGCCTGTTCAACTGTTTAAGCAAAATAAACTATTATAAAATTGATGTTCTCTATTCTGTGTTGTGAATATTAGCTTGTGGACCATGTGTATTTTATAGCTGCTCAAGCTTTTTTTTTTTTTTTTGCGTGAATGAAAAACTTAACAATACGAAAACTGAAGTGACACTGCTTCTCCTGCAGTTGTAAAGAACATGGGATAATGAATTTCAGAGACTTTTTAAAAACCAGGGTTTCTAACTTCTCTGACCACGAGGTGGCGTGAGATGGAGAAAGTTCTTGAATTTATTTTACTTTTTTACTCTGGCGCCATCCAGTGACGTGACGCCTACGTGCGTGGCTCACTTGACGCCAGTGGGAGAAGTGTGATCCGTTACTCTACCAACTACTGGTGAATGTGAATTATTCAGATAAACATCACTCATAAAACTTGTTTAAACTTTAAAAATTAAAAATTATTTGAGTGGTGAAATGAACTGGTTTCACTGTAACAACTGTTTTGTGAGCGAAGGGAAACAATTCGTTGTGTCTAGCTGTGGCCATATATTTTGTGAGACCTGCGAAAATGCAAGTGAGTCCGGAAACGTTTTTTTCGGGATGTTGTGATAATTGTACCTTTGTTATTTGCGCGAAGATAATGTGAATTCAAGTTTAATGTCTTTCTGAAGGCCAGTGCAGAGTTTGTCATGCCAACTGTAACTACCTACGCATATCTGATCAGGTGAGTCGAGTCCACTGAAACCAGATGATGAACAGGCACATTTTACACTGCTAGCTCTACTCAGGGGGGCCCTGGGTGGGTCTGGCCCACCCCCCAACTTTCTAGCCCACCCTGAGGGTCCCATGGCTCCCTTTGGAGCTGGACCTGGTGGTCAGACTTGTTTTGAGTGCTAAATACAGTTCTGTCCGTACACTGTTTTAAGAGTGTCATTAAGTTTTCAAGCCACAGCTTAATTATTGAGTTCAGTTGATGTAGACAGGTTTCTTTCATACAGCACACAACTAGTCATATGTGACATATAATGAGGGTTTTTATTTTTTTTATTTTTTTTTTAAACTGTCGACCTCTTAAGTAATAGAAAACTGGATAAAATAATGGTATAGTGCAGATTTTTTTTCAAATTGAATAAAAAGAGGATGAAAGCAGAGTTTTCGTCCAGAGTTTCAGAGTTGTCTGAAATGGCTTAGAATAAAAATGAAAACCTTTAATGCATTACAAACCTCTAAAGCATTTTTCACTATGGTTGAAAGCATCATAATTAGTTAGGGAAAAATATTAACTTAACCTACCTATATAAACAATATTTATTATCTATTTCTTCCAACCTCTGTGTTTCTTACTTACTCTTTTCATTTTGTGAAGATGAAGCCTCAGGAAAAGATGTTTTTCAATGATCCAGTAAAACTCGTTCAGACTCGTCTGGAACATATTGAAAAGGTCTCAGTCATTTTCTGCTTTTCAAAATACATTTCATTTGTCCCAATTAATTTATAACCGAAAGATTTTGTAAGACTGGAAAACCCAAGCATTTGCTGTGAACTCTGGTACACAAAATCATGTCACAGTGACATCAAATCCTAAGCAAACACAATTCTGCCAGTTATAAATTAAGGAGATGTGTTTGTTTCAGATAGCTAAATTTCAGAAAAGGCAGAAGGAGCGAGTCATCGCTTTCTTAAGAAGCAGGTCTGCGGAACTGGAACGAAAGCTGAAAGAAGTTCGTGATCAGTGCCACAGGTGGTGATTAGATCTGATATATTCAGTGGTACTTAAAATGGGACTGTTTAGTAACTTGTGCTTTGTTTAAGGCAAGTCTCTGAGCTGAAACTAGAGAACGAAGAACTAAAGAAGCCGCTTTCTCAGAGGAGGGTGAGTTTCTTATTGCATGTCCCTCACTTGCCTTCTAAATTGCATTCTCTTCAGATGTGATCATTTTTTCCCCTCCACACAGACATCTCCTGGGCGGTTTCCGATTAATGGGTAAATACAGATAATTGCCTATGTGCATAGATATGTGCCATTATACTATATAATATCAACATTTAAAATATTTTCTCTCTATATATAGAGGAACTCCAAGAATGATTCTTCCTGTGGCTGTCACATCACCAGGTAGCAAGTTTCATTTGAGACAGAAACCTCACTTATTATAAACACTATAAAACTCTTTTTATTTTGTTCTTATCACATTTCATTTCCCATTACATTTCTAGTCACACCTCGCTCTAGACCTGTCAGGTAGGTTGTATTTTATCATCTCAATTTCTATTAAAACAGCAGAGTTGCCTTCCCTCAAATAATACTATCCAATTCTGATTGTCATGCAGTTCGAGTGACACTTTGGAGAGGTTTAGACATTCCAGACTAGGCATGACAGTGAGTTAGCTGCTCTACTATATTCTAGTATATAGTTTATTTAATTAAAATAGTTATCTGTATAAGCAAAATATGCAATCCTTGTCTGACTTTTTTTACATCTTATTTATTCTAGACACCCCCAGGGTCATCTATCTCAATGTCAGGCATGAGTTCAGTACATAGTTTCAGTAAGTGAGGAATAGTGACATTATTAATCATATCTGTCAGATATCATTATTTGAGTTCATAAAGTATCCATGGTGCCATTCAAGGTGGACATTCTACTCTCTACTGTTTGTATGCTTATGTTCTCTTTTTATCTTAAAGGGACACTCAGCTCAGTTAACACTCCTACAAGGTAATGCAATCACCAAGACTAAACATTTTTAATGCCCCAAATTGAACATTTTCACAATAGGAAATTGCACTGTCCATCTTCCCTTCTCATATTTTTTAGGTCCCAACAAACAACCCCAAACAACTTTCAGTTCCAGCTTCTGGCTAGACCTACACTCCAGTCTCCACGGCCATAATCAATAACCATTTGTAGATTATACAGGTCATCATTAGAAAGTGACTTTATAACTAATGCAGCAACTACATCACCCAATAGATGGGTGCCCAATATTCTTTGCATCATATAAGTAGGAAAACAATTATATTGGCCTTCTTTTATTTGAAAAATAATTTTAAGTTGAATTAAATGTGACAAATAAAAGTCATAAATGTGTTTATTTTTGCACCTCAGTTTTTCTCATTTTTTGAATAAGGTTTTTTCCAGAATTGAAATGATACATATAGACAAAACGTAACTTTCCCAATAGAAATGGAATTGCAATTCCATTCAACATATTTGTTGAACGAATCAACATTTTTGTAAGCTTGGCTCAGTTACAAGAAGGATGTCAGAAATAAACGAATGAAATGCATTTTTCCCCAGTGTACTATAACAGAAAGCAAGTCAAACAAAAGCTACAATATGAAAGGAACGAGAAAGAGAAATGTCTTTAATAACTCCAGCATTATTGATTTTTTTGTATAATTATAAATACTAGCGGTATTATGCTCCCTTTTTGTAGATGGAGTTTGATTACAAAACTAAGACCTGGTTCTACAAATATACACTTTAGCCTAACAAAAGATCTGAGCTTCTAACTCACATAACCAACACTTATGTGTCTGTATTGATAAGTGAAATACTGATCTAATTTAAACCTTAGTTTAATACTAAATATTGTTAATACTAATATTAACTCCAAGTATTGTGAATAATTTCATACCCCATTTGCCTAATTCAAATGTAATGGTAACACTTTACAATAAGGTTCATTAGTTAACATTAATTAACTACATTTATTAATCTTTGTAAATGTTAATTTCAATATTTACTAATACTTTATTCAAATCTTGTTAACATTAGTTAATGTGCTGTGAACTAACGTGAACAAACAATGAACAGCTTTATTTTTATTAACGAACATCAACAAAGATTAACAAATACAGCAACAGATGTATTGCTCATGGTTAGTTCATGTTAGTTAATAGATGAACTAATGAACCTTATTGTAAAGTGTTACCAATGTAATTAATGCCACATTTGATGAGACCTATTTGATAATGTTAGGAGTATAATTGGACAGAATGCAACAATGAGTTAAACATAATTGGTCATGTTTTATTTTGCCACCCTGAAACACAAATTTACAGTCAATAAGGCACAAGATTTTACAAAAGCCATGGCTTTTGTTGTCTTTTCATTGGACACTGAACAAATCTGCAGTGAAGTAGGGATGTATTCAAAAGAAAAGTTTATTCACAATGAAGTAGAGAGATTAGAGAAATGGATCCATAAAACCTAAGTGCGGAATGTTAGCTGATTTGAAATGGAAAAATATATTGTAAACCTAAGGTTTAAGAGGGAATCAATATACAGTGCCATATGGATCTCTGAATTAAACAAAAAGTACTCTCAACATTGCTAACAATTCTGGCCCAAACATCTAAACTACAGTACTTAATAGATAACCAAACCAAAGTTTCTGGAAATAAACAGTTTGAGCATGATGTCAGTTCTAAGAAGCAGCAATTCAGGCTCTAAAAGATTACTAAAAAATAATAGCATAATAAGGGTAATACTTCGCAGTGAAAGTAGTCAAATAGTCAATAAAGACCAAAAATACATTACAGTTTAGCATGTTCAATACTGCATGTCAAAAAAGGTAACAAACGATGTTGAGACTGTTGAAGAAAATACTTTTGCTATTTTTTAACAGTGGAAAAGAGGGCATTGCATGAAGTGATTATATACTGTGCCTTCAAACAGGTCTTGCCTAATTACAGGACTCACAGCAGATTAACAGACATGATCACAAATGGTTTTCTGTACATTAATCAATAACTGTGAGCTCTGGGTCCAGTTTTGTACTGTCTTTAGACGCAAACCAGTCTCGCACCTGTTGGTAACTCATTTTTGACTTTCGGCAGAGATGGTCAAGGTCCTTCTCTTGTAGTGGTCCCGTCTGTTGATAATACATCTCTAACGGACTGATGTCTACAGAATCCGTTGCAGACTTCTGTGTTTTTGTTGTGCTGTTCCCTTGTGACTTACGTTTCCTGTTGCCTTCACTTCCTGGGGTTCCACTGGCATCGGCAGCAGCCCCTCCACTTTGTAACAATGCTATCTCGGCAAGCACTTGTCCACGTACGTCAGCATGCACCCAGCGTACATTGCCATTTTTTACAGCATAACGCGTGTCCCCAAACCACTGGATAATGTCAGCACGAGGCAAAGATGTTATTTCCACTAGCTCTGTGTACAAGTCACTCTTTGGCCATGGGCATTTATGGAAGTATTCCTTTAGGATGGCCAGTTGCTCCTTTGTTTTTCTTGGTCGTCCAGCCGCTGTTAATACTGAAGAAAGTGAAGAGTTGTCCAAGGGGTTTAGGGAGTTGTTTATGGAAGTGTTTGCTTTGACAGTGCGTGCTGACTTCGATGACCTGGCTGAGTGTTTTTTAGATGGGGTGATGGATGGAGAAGAAGAGGCAGTGGGTGCAGCCGGCTCCGGAGGTGTCACACAATGTCCCTCACTTTCCTGTTCACTTTTAACTTCATCATTGTTCTGAATCTCACTTTCCTCTGAACATTTCTCCTCATCTTCTCCTAATGCTCCATCTTCAAATGCCTCAAGAGTGTTAGACAGGAAAAGCTGGAAAAACTGAGAGCGCCTCTGCCGATTCTTTCGCGATCCTGTTCTTTGCCTGGTCTGTTCTTTGCCTTCGTTGTCAGCATGCTTTGTACTTTGCTTTTTAGTGGTGAGGGGAAGAGGCTGAACCTCCTGAGACTGAAGTAATAGACTACAGTTGGGTTCATTTTTTTCTCCTTGAGAAGCAGAGAAGGACGTTGTCAATCCCCTACCATTTCGCAGCTGGTAGCGACTGTCACTGAACCATTTTCGAATCTCATTACGAGTTAGGCCCGTCTCCTCTTGTAAACGCTGTAACTCTGTCTCATCAGGCCAGTTCTCCTGTAGGAAACTCTTCCGCAATGCAGCTAACTGGGCTTTGGACTTTTTGTAGCGGCCATGCCGTGGTTGCTCAGATCCAGCAGGAGATTCTGTAGAAGTAGGTGGGGTAGCTGCTTGAGGGGTTTCGGGCATTTCTACTGGTTGTCGGTAGTAGTATGAATCCTGAGGAGGAGGGAGAGATGAACGGAAACGTGAGGGAGCAGGAGAGAGCTTTGCTGGTTCTGTGCTTTCAATTTTATGTTTTTTGCGAGGCACTTGTGGACTTTGCGCTAGATCTTCTACATGGTCTTCGGTTTCTTTAAAATCCTCAATTCCCTTTTTCCTCTTCATAGGGCTCTCTTTGAGTTTCTCACTTGTTTCCCCAGGCCTAGCCAGCTTAAGCCGTGTCTCTTCAATGTCCTCCGATGCCCAGCTGATTCCATACTTGATGCGTTGCACCATGAACCACACTTTAACTTTATCTAGGGGAAGAGCACAGACACGGGCAAGAGTGCTGACCTCTTGTGATGTTGGATAGGGGAAGGTGTTGAAGGCCTGAACAAGTTCAGGGACACTATCCAACTCACGTGTTTGATCGGACTGGGTCCACACTAGCTTCAGTCCTTCAGATACCAAAGGAAGACATACTACAGAGTTATTATTAGTGCTGAAGCTTACTGCAGCGCTGCCATTGCTTTCTCTTGGTCTGCGATTAGAGGGGCTTGCATGTTCCTTTCCGTCAGAATTGTGGTGTGGTGATTTTTGCAGCCGTGGACTGGTGAGGTTTCCGTCTTGTCTTTTTGCTGCCACCCCTCTCGGAGAGATAACTTTCAAGTCATGGTCAGTGTGTGTCGCCATCAGAGATGTCACACCTCTATTGCCACAGACTGAAAGAATGACAAAGAAATTCAGAGTCAATTGACAATGAATACAATTTAGAAAGTATTTTAAAATATATTCCTAATGGCAAGTATTACAAACAAGAAGTTTATTGGCAGAGTAAGATACAATGGATAATAATTGATTGAATATTACACATACAGTATGATCTGGATTTATAATCATTCGAGTGTTTTTTGTGGTTTGGGGTGTGTGTAAAAGTAAAACTGGTAAAAGTGCAGTACTTTATTGATGAATGAAAGTCAATCAAGGCCCAAATTGTGACTTTAACATTGTGAAATGGCCAGATTAGGAACTACAGTTGCCCTCATAAACACAATCACACAGCATAGTAGGGCATTTGCACTACCCACCATGCCTTTTCTTAAACAGTTAATTTTTATTAACTTAAAATCCTGCTTGTTTGTAAGCCAGATTTGTGAGGGGTGAAGAGGTTGGAATGCTGGGGGGTGGCGGGCTGTTGCTGGCTGATGGGTGCAAGGATGATGATTTGGGGAGGGGGTTAATGGGTGGGATTCTGGTCAGACTTTGGTCAAATCTACAACAGAATCGTTCAAAGCATTTTCAAGATCCAGCCAACTTAACGCCAGGAAATCTTACATTATTAATGCCTGTCCAGAGACTGAGTTTCAAGGAACACCATTCATCAAACTTCCTTAAAGTCATTAAACTGGAACTTTATGGTCAAGTCTACAGTCCATCCATTGACTTTACTCTCTAGAGTTGAAAGAAGGACAGATGTCACCCCCTTCCCCCTGCCGTTCTCTTCCACACATTAGCCTTTTATTAAAGCCTGTCGTATACTCTACACCAATGCACACCCAACCCCCACTTTGGCAGACTTGGGCAAAAGAGATGGGGGCCCTGCCCTTCACAGCTCTCTTGCCCCTTTCCAGTGCACGTAATGGTCCACTTCCCCCGTTTGCCTAACCCCATAGAACCATATAGAAGTTCGTTTAACCTTCCAACAGATGGCCAAAAGGATAGTAGGAGTCAGTCTCGGTTAAATAACGGTAACAAAAGTTAGTGCAATTTGTCAAGCTGGTTTGTTTGCCAGTTTTGCTGTTTGCCTAGATGCCTACCCAACACAGCTCAGTCTACATAGAACATGTTGGTTAACTTAAATTGGGTCTATGCTAAAAACATTGTCTAATCATGACATGAGATGATTTCTCAGTATTTGTCCTGACTAAGACAGCTTAACTGCTTATGGTCCTCATTTTATAAATGAACAACACAGGAACTTAAGGGGTTAGTTCAACCAAAAATGCCGTAATTTACTCACCTTCAAGCCATCCTAGGTGTACATGACTGTCTTCTTTCAGCCAAACACAATCAAAGTTATATTAACAAAATATATACTCTGGCTCTTCCAATCTTTATAATGGGAGTGAATCCATTCATCAAACAAAAAAAATCTATAAATCTCCAGGGGGTTAATAAAGGCATTCGGATGTGAAACAATGCCTTTTTGTAAGAAAAATATCCATATTTTTAACTAAAAAACTATAAATCACTGGCTTTCGGTAATGGCCGTACACAAGTCGAGTTCCGGCGGAAGAGTGACCGCTGACCTGACGAATGACATAGGATGTAGAAGTAGCGTAAGCTTAGGTGCGAGTAGACCCCTTTCGCAGTTTAAACAAATAGGGCTGAGCAACAAACTCAAGCTCATCTTCTCTTTTATTAAAATCCTTAAAAATTCTCGTTTTAGACTAATTTGTGATCTTCTGCGCTTCCGTATGCATCAATACGTTGGGTCAGAGTTCATTCAGACTTGTGTACGGATGTTACCGGAAGCCAGTGATTATGGTTTATAAAGTTATATATGGATATTGTTCTTATAAAAACACATCGCTTTACTTCAAAATGTCTTTATTAAGCCTTGGAGCCATATGAATTACTTTCATGATAGATGGATGAACTCTTTTGGACTTCAAAATCTAGGGTATCATATCATTCACAGGATATTTTTTAATATGACCGATTGTGGTTGGATGAAATAAGAATTCATATACACCAAGGGTGGCTTGAGGGTGAGTAAATGTTGGGATAATTTTCTTTTTTGAAAATCTGTAATTTTCAAATTTCAATTGCAAATCAGTTTTTGTGGTTTTGCCAGTAGTCTACATGAGCACAGTTAGGCAATACTGATTCGAAAGGCTTTTTCAATTGGCTTTTGACTTGGAAAGGCAACAAGCAGGCCAGTCATCAACAAAACAAGTTGGAGGTGAACTTGACAGGATAAATTCCAGACCGCCTGTGGTGACCTCATTTATCAGATGATGACTTGGAATGACTCGACTAAGCGTAAAGTCCCTTGAAGTCAGAGTAGCTTTTGTCATCACATTGTTTAGCAGCATTACCATTTGTACTTTAGTGTCCAGTTTACAAATATATGAACTTATGAGATATACATTTTACAAATTCATTCACAAGTTCACACATTTTCCAAAGTTTAGTCTGAAATATGAGACACTCAATATTAATATGGTCCAAATTAATTAATAAATTATGTGAGACAATTAATTTTAATATAATTTGTAAACATGAACAATTGTGTATCATACATGCACTGTATAAAACAGAAATACATTGCAGTTTACACTAAAACTCGGTTAGACTTGTTGGAAATTGCGTCATTGGCCGATGTTTGTCCATGGCCTCTATTGTAATCAGCTTATGTGGGGAACTTTTGACGTAGGTCGTAGGGTGTGAGATGAGATCACTACAGTGTGTATTTATCCAACAAACAGTAAGCAGGTGTAAGGACCATCGTGGGCCAAATGCTTCTATAATAAACCAGGTTTTATGCCAAACGAGTTCTTGAACACAATCCATTTCGTGGCGAAGGATCAGCTCACGCTTCAGTTACGTACATAAACAAACTCCCGTTTTTCAATTTAACCACACATTCCCCGTTGAACCTCGTTCAAAACAAATGCTTCAAATAATGTGAAAGCGACGCTAAACAAGAATCGCCTGACCCATCGCGTGGCTTTCAGGGTCTAATAACAAGCCTCGTCTCGGCTACGCTTTAAAAACTTCACGAATGTAAATTGTAGCAGTTCGCGTGAAAAAGGAACTCACCGCTTGAATTTCTCTCAAGGTTGTATGTGGATACGCCACTTCAGCTGGTCTGTATTATACGTTGTTGCTTTTGTTCTTGAAATCTCGAAGTGGTTTTCGCCTGTCCGGTCAGACCGAGGCTAGACAGAGAGGATCAGGAAACTCTCGGACCAGCCCCCTCTTTCTCATGAAACGACGGTGCAGTGCTCGAGCAGGTCCAATCCGGGAAGGAGAGGGATGGTAGGAGGAGCACAGCTGAAACTTGGCCCCTTGAATGCACTTCCCATCTGGGATGTGATTACCATGTGAATTGTGCCATATGAAAAGTTCTAGGAGTCTCCAGGTAAGGCTGCAAATCATTATTCTTTGATCAGACATGTTATTAGAGATAACTCTATGAATGTTAGAGTTCAGGAAACAGCAATTAATTGAATCTACAAATTAATAAAACAACCCACTTTAGAGTAATACAACAACAGTCCTTATTTTGCTTACTTTGACTGTAATACATGGCTGTACCCACCAAATATATAAATAGACATGAATTGTTGATTAGAGGTGAAGTAATTTTGAATATGATAGAGCCAAATGTCCAGGAAAACTAATTGAACTTATTGCATGGGTGTCTACTATTGATTTGATTTACAGCATTTAGCATACTTGTAGAGAACGGAGAGGCATAGCATGATTTCCCAGATGAGTGGACAGTTATGAAGTGTTAGTGTGGCTGAGTACTGTTGACCAATCAGAATCAGGTATTCAAGAGCAATATTTCAATCTCTCAAAAATACAACACAAAAAAGACTAGTAAAATGGTTTGGTTAGAATACATTCATTTATTACAAGTATTATCCTCTTTGAAGTTAAAACCACCAGTGTATTTAAAAGGTTTTTTTTATTATTATTATTGTTTTAGAAAACAATATGTTGTGTGACAAATGTGCTGATGAATTGTGCAAAATGTGTCTTAAATGACTCAGCTACTGTAATTTTAATCATTCATTCATTTGTTATTTATTAACAAATGTTTCAGTCCTTACTCCTATGTTAAGATGGACATTACAATAATTTTAGAAACAATTAAAAAAAGACAATTATTAAAAACAAGCCCTGTTTCTGCATGTTAAAATTTCCCACTGCCAAGACTCAGCATGGAACGAGGCACTCTGATGAATGAAGGAGTGAATACGGAGAGCCAGGACACATAAGGTACCTGGGAAAAGATGAACTTCAGAGAGGTGTAGTCCACAACACTGCGGCCTGGAAAATAAATATCATAAACACTGTGTAGGATTTTGGAACATCTACAGTACATCTATGTATCTTTGGAAGTACCAACACTCCATCATAAACATCTATCACCATACCATCAACATCTGTGAGTCCATAGCGCCGAGCCAGGTCACAGGTCATCAACACTTGACCAGTCATGGACATCAGACTTGTATCTGTTTGTCGCCAAGAAGCAGAAAATACCATGAACAAGAGCCTCCAAGTAATACATTTTGCCTTTCATGGTCATTTATAACCATGTTAACTTTAACCGCTCATTAAATCTTTTTTTTTTTAATCCAACCTTTGGCCAGCTCAACTAAGCATCGTCCACTGAACTCCGTCGTCTCACCCTTACTGAAAACTTCCTTGAACTGAGAAACAAAAAGTAAACAAACATTTAGCAAGATATGTTTGTTATATCATAATCATACCCATTTTATATGAACTTCACAACCAATCCACATTAATATCTGGGATACAATTAATATGGCTTACTTTGGGATCCAAACCTGGAGGTGCCTCAAGAGATACATACTGATTAACTAACTCAGTCTGAACTGCCCCTGGCCAGAGGCTTACAGAAACCACACCTTTCTTCTTCAGCTCTACTGCCATATCTGCTGCCATTCTGTCACACTGAAGAAAATAAGCAAAAGTAAGATGGAACATAAATGCTCTGAGAATAATAAAAATTGAATGTAACTGAGAATGCATACTGTGCAAATGAAATAATCTGGCTTTCAAATATGATACGCTAAAAAGGACTGCAAATATACACTCACCTAAAGGATTATTAGGAACACCATACTAATACTGTGTTTGACCCCCTTTCACCTTCAGAACAGCCTTAATTTCACCAGCCAGAACAGCTGAGTCTTGGCAGTGGGAAATTTGGAATCTTCTCCAGACTGAGATGAAGTTAAAAGAAATAGTATCTTGTGGTCAATTTAAATATTTATTAGATAATCATCAGAGTAAATTAATTGTGTGTAAATGTTTGTAACTAGGTGCATTTTTTTTATATTTTTATTTTTGTAATGAGATTTGTTTATGTCTGTGTGTTGTAACTTTGATGTTAAATGTCCATGTAAACTAAGCCGCTTATCTTGGCCAGGACACTCCCGAAAAAGAGATTTTAATCTCAGTGAGTTTTTTTCCTGGTAAAATAAAGGTAAATAAATTAATTCAAAGTGGCACTGATTCAACAAGGTGCTGAAAGCATTCTTTAGAAATGCTGGCCCATATTGATAGGATAGCATCTTGCAGTTGATGGAGATTTGTGGCATGCACATCTAGGGCACGAAGCTCCCGTTCCACCACATCCCAAAGATGCTCTATTGGGTTGAGATCTGGTGACTGTGGGGGCATTTTAGTGCAGTGAACTCATTGGCATGTTCAAGAAAACAATTTGAAATGATACAAGCTTTGTGGCATGGTGCATTATTCTGCTAGAAGTAGCCATCAGAGGATGGGTACATGGTGGCCACAAAGGATGGACAAGGTCAGAAACAATGCTCAGGTAGGCCGTGGCATTTAAACGATAAGCAATTGGCACTAAGGGGCCTAAAGTTTGCCAAGAAAACATCCCCCACACCATTACACCACCACCACCAGCCTGCACAGTGGTAACAAGGCATGATGGATCCATGTTCTCATTCTGTTTACGCCAAATTCTGACTCTACCATCTGAATGTCTCAACAGAAAACTCATCAGACCAGGCAACATTTTTCCAGTCTTTGACTGTCCAATTTTGGTGAGCTCTTGCAAATCATAGCCTCTTTTTCTTATTTATAGTGGAGATGAGTGGTACCCGGTGGGGTCTTCTGCTGTTGTAGCCCATCCTCCTCAAGGTTGTGCGTGTTGTGGCTTCACAAATGCTTTGTTGTAACGAGTTGTTATTTCAGTGAAAGTTGCTCTTCTATCAGCTTGAATCGGTCGGCCCATTCTTCTCTGACCTTTAGCATCAACAAGGCATTTTCACCCACAGGACTGCCGCATACTGGATGTTTTTCCCTTTTCACCCTATTCTTTGTAAACCCTAGAAATGGTTGTGCGTGAAAATCCCAGTAACTGAGCAGATTGTGAAATACTCAGACTGGCCCGTCTGACACCAACAACCATGCCACACTCAAAATTACTTAAATCACCTTTTTTTCCCATTCTGACATTCAGTTTGGAGTTCAGGAGATTGTATTGACCAGGACCACACCCCTAAATGCATGGAAGCAGCTGCCATGTGATTGGTTGATTACATAATTGCATTAATGAGAAATTGAACAGGTGTTCCTAATAATCCTTTAGGTGAGTGTAGAATATGTAATGTTGTGTGCACTGACTTACTGCAGCCTTGCCGACCCCATAGGGTACATTAAAGAGATAGCGCATGCCACCCATAGATGATATGAACACAATCAAGCCCTTGCCTTGAGCCACCATCATCCTTGCAGCATGCACTGAGCAGAAATAGTGACCCCTGTAAAAACACAGTGACCATGATCTCTTGTTATGGATCTGAAAGGACTAGGTAAATTAATTGTTATGAAAAAGTCATTTTGGGATTTTTCAACATGATTCAATTCATTGTGCAGTATTGTTTTAAGGGTACAGTTTTGATGTGGTTCGGTCCTAAATGCCCCAATATACTCACAACAAAGTTCTTTTTCCTCTTTCCCTTTGAGGTAAAAAATACGCAAGCTGTGATATACTGTTAGTTAATATTCCGATTAAGGTTTTCCAGGAAGTTTGCTTTGGTAAGCTGGTTCAAACCCCTGAAATCAACTCAAAAGGAACATTGTTTTAGCCTGATTTTGTTCAAAATGGCTCCAGGGTCAGACCAGTTCATTCTTTGATTTTGCTTTAAGTATATTGGGGTTTTTAAATTGTCATTCTACCATTCAAAAGTTTGGGGTCAGAAAGATTTTATTTTAAAGAAATAAATACTTTTATTTATATAAATATATATGATAAATATATTATAAATACTTATAATATATTAAAACAGAAAAGTTATTTAAAATTGTAATAATATTTCACAATATTGCTGTTTTATTGTTTTTTGATCAAATAAATAGAGCCTTGGTGAGCATAAGGGACTAATTTTCAAAAAAAAAAAATCAAAAATATCTCCCAAGGTCCTCAAATGTATTCAAAAATGTTTTTTTTTTGTGTGTGTTTTTTTTACATCGGTTCATATATTATATTTCATTATGTTATTTGGAGTCACCTCCAGATCTGTACTGTACCTGAGTCCAGTGTTGTTTATGGTGTCCCAAATATCTGGTTCCACCTCCCAGAACTTTTTATTCATGTTGTCGAAAATAGCCTAACACAAAGACATAAACAAAACAATAACAACAACAACAACAAAAAAAAGTTATTTAATGAAACAATCAAAAGTAAAAAATAAATCAAGTTTACAAAATCAAAATATTTGTTCCATTGTTAGCTGTAACTGACCTGTACACCAGCATAAGCATTATTCACCAAAATGTCAAGCCTGCCATTTTGCTCACGCTGGACACGTTCAAACAGGTCCTTGATGTCACCCTCCTTAGATGAGTCACAGACCACAGGGAGACACCGGCCACCTCTCTCTGTTACCTGTCATCAAGAAAATAAAAGAAGCATGAAACCTGTATCACCTTTCCCAAGTTGCACAAATAACAGGGTTATTGATGTTACAATCAATAGCCAGTTTCCAAACCTCAGCTGCTGTCTGCTTTAAAGTTTTCTCCTGTCGACCAGTGATGTACACAGTAGCACCAGCCTCAGATAACTGAAGGGCAATACCTCTTCCAATTCCTCTGGAAGCACCAGTCACCACACAAATCCATCCTGATAGTGCCATCTGATAAACACAGATTGATGTCTGATTCATAAAGCGGTTCTTTTGAATTGGTTCAAACAATCTATATAAACTATTAGTTTAAAGGCCTGTTCACACCCAGGACGATAACTACTGGGAATCACTTTCAGAACGATTTTTTTCCCAGCTGATGAAGATAAAAACATTGACAGCCAATCAGAATCCATCCTGTTATAAAGAAAGTGGTGCTCACTGCAGAGCAAAATAACGCCCAGCTCCCCCTTTCTGGACGATATGGGTGAGGACTCCGTGGACTTCATGGAATTAGCTTGACCGATTTAGGGATAGGGTTATGGGTAGTTTTAGGGGGGCCCTTTAAGCTCCACCCATTTATACATATAGCGAGGGGGAGCTGGACATCAAGCTCCACCCATTGGCTCTGCAGTGATCACAGAGCTTGAGCATTTAAAGTGGTAGATGACAACTGCAGCACCTGCTTATAATAAACAGAATGTTATCAAGCGATGATGTGGGCACTATCATAGTTATCTTCATGAATCATGATATCACCTTTATACGGTTTACACTGTCTAGTTCCAGCAGATGACCTATGACCCAACGCATGCATATTGACAAACATGAAAGTTCAGAGGTTAGAGCAAAACAAAACACCAGTAACACAAATTAAAAGTCTAAAACAAGATTTTTTAAAAGAAAAATGTCAGAGGATTTCGATAAAAGAGAAGAGGAGCTTGAGTTTGTTTCTCAGCCCTGTTTGTTTGAACCACGAGAGGCGTCTATTCTCACCTAAGCTTACGCTACTCCTGCATCCTAAGTCATACGTCAGGTCAGAGGTGTGTCACAAATTGGTTGTGACATCTAAGGTTGTATGCATCATGGTGTGATCAGTCAGATGATGATGATCTTCTACAATGCAATCTATATGGAATTAGTGCATGGTTTGGCAACTTAACAGTTGCAACATGCACAAAACAGCTATGAAAATTATAGGGAGAAAAGACTATGAACATTCCCTCTTTCCATCTTAGCATGTTCACTTTACACAAACATCAGTGCAATGGAGAAATGTTCAATATCCAGCACTTGCACTTTATTTCATGGAACTATTATGTCAACAATGTCCTTTTTCTTCTGTCTACTGTATTTTTTCTTCTCTTCTCAGGTTCTTGCTGATGTGTTTTGTGATGTTTTTATTATTATTATTTTATGAAGCAACTCGCAGTGTCCACGCAAAATATCCCCTTTGGGACAGTAACGTTAACCGACCTACCCAATAAAGTTAACCTATTTGACTGAAATAAGAAAGAAACACCTAGGATGGCTTGCGGGTGAGTAAATTATGGGATAATTTTGGGGTGAACAAACCATTTAAATGTAATATCAATTCTTTAGGTTGCACGTTAATTCCAATGAGTTGTATCATGGCTGATGATCACAAACTCAACTACGTGAAATTACAATAAATATGTTTATGATTACCTAATTAAAAAACGCATTTGGCCAATGTGTTATGTTTTAGCATTGACAGTGCGTGTGTCATGCCGTTCCGGTTCCGTCCGAGACACGCGATGACGTAAATGCGTAAATGGCGTAGTGAACAGTCGAATCATTTTGTTATCTGTAACGAACTGTTCCCAAAGAAACGATTCGCGAAAATGAGTCACTAGTCAGTAACAACGTCAAGGGAACGGGGAAGCGGAGAGAAATACAAGCCCGTCACCCTGTGGTTATATATATTCATTGCAACCTTCTTCACAACGACGAATAATTGGCCCGGAATGAAAGTTATGCAACATCATCACAAACTAACAATTATTTAGCAAAGCGTCGTGCAGATGGAAAGGTACATTTTAATTTCACGTTTCACTAGTGTGACACCTCGACTTGTCTCGAAGGCTGTTCGCTAATGTTACGCCAGAGTGACGATGTGTTTAATGCTATGGATAGAATTGTCTTTCTTGTGACATTTACATAGGCTACGTATTTATGTAAACGAGACACGTACCTGTTCAACGCCGCGTTTAAACTCCTTATGAACGGTAGCTATGTGTAGCTCGGAAACTCTTGCCTGGACTTGAAATCTCCAACAGGAAAAGTGTGTTGAAATGAACGAACTGCTACACATATAACGTGCAGATAAGACAGTCCTGTTTATGGATATCCTCCCATTCCCGTAATACGTCTAATAAAAATCCACCAAGTTTTGCAAATGTATACTGCTTTTACAAGCCTATTTAAACTATATGAAATCACCCACCCCACAAACATAAACGTACAATAATGCAGTTCTTTTCTATTTGTTCAGCTTTTGTTCAACTTTAGCCTAATCACAGCAGGAAATCAAACCCAATGTTACTTTGTTCAAACAATTTTGTTTACAGCATGGGAAGGTTATGTTCCTGTTATCTGCCAATTAACGTTACACTCTTAAAGAGTTGCAAGGTTATTTATTGGCATGAGTGGTTCCTTTCCACAAAAGTTTTATATATATATATATATATATATATATAGTGTAAAAATGTTCTTTAGACTATGTACTTGCACACTGAGAAAAACATTGCTTTTAACTGTTCACATGGGTACCAAAAATGGTCCATGCAATGGAATCTATTGTGGTATTCCCTGAATTGTTTAATGCAATCACCTCATTTCCCCAACATAGCTTGGATTTATGATTGTGGGGCACCCAAGGATCTTGGCCCCAATTACAGATTGTGCAATTAGCCATTTGTTATTTCAATATAACCTTTGATCTAAATCTACTTTGATGCCAGTCTGCAGTCACCATTGCTTGCATGTTACAATTGTTCGAGAAGTAAACATAAAAAATCCTAGTCGCTGCTCACAGTACCAAAGGCCACTGGAATTTCACTTTTTAATAGTCGCAATGTTGCATCACAGTCTCCCATTAACCCCTTTTCATTGTTTGGTTTTGTTTGAGGTACACAGGACACATGGTTGATTCTTGATGCCCTGTGTGTTTCCCTCACACAGATAAAGGTTTAATAAAAAAGATATAAATAGTGATTTAATCTTTTTAATAACAACTAAGCAGTAAACCATGTTCAGATATGTTAATTGGTCTGCTCAGTGACAAGCGACATCATTTGAGCAGAGTGTATACATACTGGCATCACTGTCATGGAAAATAATTATTTGATCCCCTGCTGATTATGTACGTTTGCCCACTTACAAAGAAATTAAGGATCTATAATTTTTATGGTATTTGAATGGATAGAGACAGAATATCAATCAGAATATTAATTTGCATTTCAGTAAGTGAAATAAGTATTTGATCCCCAAGCAAAACATGCCTTAGTACTAGAACCCTTTGTTGGCAAGCACAGAGGTAAGATGTTTCTTATTTTATTAGTTATTAGCAAACCTGGTTTGCACACATCTCAGGAGGGATTTTGGTCCACTCCTCCTTACATATACTCTCAAAATCCTTATAATTTCTTGGCTGTCACTTGGCAACTCAAAGTTTAAGCTCCCTCCTCAGATTTTATAAAGGATTAAGGTCTGGAGACTGGCTGGGCCACTCCAAGACCTTAATATGTTGCCTGGGCAGTGTGTTTTGGGTCTCTGTCATGCTGGAAGACCTATCCACGACCCATCTTCAGTGTTCTGGCTGAAGGGAGGAGATTCTCGGCCAAGATTTGACGGGACATGGCTCCGTCCCTCGGCCCCTCATTAAAGTGAACTCGTTCTGCACTCTTACCAGAGAAACAGCCCAAAAGCATGCTTCCGCCTCCGTGCTTGACTGCTGGGATGGTGTTCTTGGGGTCATAGTCAGCATTTCTCTCCCTCCAAACACGGCGAGTTGAGGCCAAAGAGCTCAATTTTGGTCTTATCTCACCACAGCACTTTCTCCCAACCCCTCTCTGCGTTATTGGATATTTATTGGCAAGCTTCAGATGGGCTTGAACTTCTTGAGAAGGGGTACCTTGCGGGTGCTGCTGGATTTCATTCCATTGTGGTGTAGTGTGTTACTAATGGTTTGCTTGTATTTTTGCTAATTGGTAATTGCTTTATAATGATCTAAGCTAATCATATGACTGTTGGTTCCACTGTGTTAAGCACTTTTTAGGTAAGTATATGGTCTCTGACCTGAACATTCGTCTGCATTTCTCTGTACATTTAAAGTTGAAAATACCCATTACATAAAATATTGCTATCACAATACACAAACCATAGGTGACTGACTCGCATTATTTTATTTTTTTTGCAGCCCTGATAATTCCAAACTGTGAGTCCATGTATGATGCCAAATAAATTCAAATGTAAGTAACATTTGACATTTTAAGTAGTATTTTATCTTAAAATTATAAAAATTTCAAAATGCTTGATCACTGAAGCAAGATGCTGTTTTTTTTTTCTTCATTTTTGGAAACACTTTTAGTTAACTGCGGATGAACTTGCATTACAAATAAAAATACCATGTCATTGACATTTGCCACACTCAAAACCACTCTGTTATCACCAAGCTCAGTGTTGGGTGTGCCTTATACACATATCTTCCTCTTGTGCAATATGATTTTTTTGCAATAAAGTCACTGTCAGTGTTACCACAATAATGACATTTATTCTGATACAGTACACTGAAAATGTGTTTTTGGCAGCATATTTTTGATGCTCAAACTTTGTGGTTTATATAAATAATCTTTAAATAACTCTGATGGTGAAAATAAACACAAATTCAATCATGACATCACAATTTTGACAAAACCATATCTATGTAGTTCAAATTATGTCATCATTTACTCACCCGTAAGTTGTTTCAAACCTGTATGAATTTCTTTCTTGAACACAAAAGAAGATATTTTGAAGAATATTATAAAAGAAATTCATGTTTTGAACAACTTGAGGTTGAGTAAATGATGACAGAATTTACATTTTTGGACGAACAATCCGTTTAAAGGTGGTCATGGTGCAGTGGATAAGACACATGCCTTTGGTGTGAGAGACCCGGGTTCGAATCTACAGCGAGACACCAATGTGTCCCTGAGAAAGACACCTAGTTGCTCCAGAGGCGTGCGACCTCTGACATGTATAGCAATTGTAAGTCGCTTTGGATAAAAACGTCAGCTGAAATGTAAAAAAAAAAAAATGTAAAGCCAGCTAAACAACATATTTAATATAGCAGAATAAAACTGAATGTACGTGATCAAGACATGTAACATGTTGTGACAGTGCAGATGACAAATGGCAAAATACATTTGTGTCATTTGGCCCAAAAAAAGTCTTTGGTTATATAAGGAGTTAGTCAGAACTACTTTAGCTAAGTCAATCTACCGAAGCTTTCTTCCGGCATGAGAGGTAAAATAACCCAGTAAAAATGAGAATTGGGCAATAAGGTCCAGTGCGCTTTCCATATATAAAGCACACAAGCTCACTGTAAGAGTACTTGCACACACAGTAATGGGGTGGATAGATAATCTCCTGATTTGTTCTTTCTTTGTGTCAATTTACCTGCTGACACAGGCTAAATGTGGTAAGCATGTTTCCTTTCTTCCAGAGTAAGGAATAATTGTAAGACACAGAGTGCATTGATATTTTGATTGTTATTTAGGTCCTGTGAATGCAGCCTCATCTATGAGTGATGAAAAAGACACTTCGTTTGTGGTAAGTTTCAAGTGCAACTGGTTAAACAGACATGCTTTTTTCAGATATGACTTCTTATATTGTCATATGACTTCAGTTTACAAGTATACTGAAGTATATGAATCAGTATACAATCACACCTTTTAAATGTTTGGTGTCGTTAAAATTGTAAAATGTCTTTGAAAGAAATCTCGTCCTCATAAAGGCTGCATTTTTTTTATTGAAAATCATTTCATTCCAAATGTATTTATTTGTGTTATTTTAAAAATGTCATTTATTCCTGTGATGGCAAAGCTGAATTTTCAGCATCATTACTCCAGTCTTCAGTGTCACACGATCCTTAAGAAATCATTCTAATATGCTGATTTGGTAACATTTCTTATTATTATCAATGTTTTGCACATTGTGCTGCTTAATATTTGTGTAGGTACTGTGATACATCTTTGATGAATAATAAAACATTTTTTTACATGAAATCTTTTGCAACATTATAAATGTATTTACTGTCACTTTTGATCAATTTAATGCATCCTGCCTAAATAAAAGTATTAATTTATTTCTACAAAAAACACTGAACCCAAACTTTTATGCCAAGTCAAGTCACCTTAATTTATATAACGTTTTAGATTGTTTCAACGTGGTTTCAGTATAAACATGAAAAGGACAGAATCAATTATGCAAACTTTATAAAAATATGAGACATTATTCAAATTCTGCTGTAAAGCAGCTCTGCAAAGACAACAGTGCCGTTATAGTGGTGTGTATAAGAAGTTTAACTGGTAGTGTAAATGGCTAGTATATAAATTTTTTATGATATTTTTATTTTACATTACAATATATACAGTATATATATATATTGTAATGTCTTTCACAGTGTAAAAACTAAACAAGGTCACTCATTTTAGTCTAAAGTAACATTTTCCACACATTTTAGGCACGCAGGGATTTCACCAGACAAAGAAGAGCCGTAGAGGTGAGGCAGTTTTAAATCTTTGTTTTTTGTATAATTCATTTTAAGGGGCTTGTACTTTTAAATGTATGTTGTTAAAAAAAAACTTTAAATACATTTTTTCATTATCTTTCTGTAAACTACTAAGGATTTTTCAGGTATGTGAATTATATTTTATTCAAAACTATTTTATTCAGATATTAAACCAATTTGGAGATTAGATAAGTTTTAACTCCAGGCCAGTTCTACCAGCTTGGAGTTTCCATCCCAAAATATTGAACAACATGACTAAAAAGTGTCAGTCTTTCCATCTGTACTTATTTAGGCCTTCAGAAAGATCTTGACGAGATGAAGATTAAATGTGAGGATTCTTACAAAGTAGCGAAGGATAATATTGATGGTGAGTCAGCCATCTTCATCTACTCAAACTTAAAAGTATCAACCATGCAGTTCCATCTTGCACTCATATTCATCACAATGTTTATATCGGTGGACATGTTTTCAGGTTTTAAAAGGCAACTGGATGATCTTTTTAAACAAGTCAGTGCCACCAAGAGTCCAGCCAAGGATGGTATGTGGAAAATGATATGTATACACTGAAAAAAATTATTTTGTGGTGAAGTAAATACTACAGA